GGAGGGGAAGACCCTCTATGAGATGGATTGATTCAGTGACTGGGGTAATCGGGATGGGTGTGTCAGAGGCGGTGCGGTTGGTGCAGGATAGAGCAGGGTTTAGGGCTGTTGTGCAAAGGGTCGCTCGCTATGAGTCCGAAACGACTCGACGGCACATAACAACAACAAACAGCCTTTCGAATTGCACTGCAGCTTCTTACCACTAGGCCATGTAGTTGGCAGTAGAAATCCACACAGGGGTACCTTGAACCACAGGCTTGGCAATCTGCTTCTGAAAAGTCACAGTGTTAAAAACTTAATGAGGCAATTGTACTGTGTATACCCTCTAGGATCATCAAGAGTTATAATTGATCCAATGGCAAACAACAACAACAACATATTTTACCTACAAGAGATATATGCAGAGCATCCCTTCTCTTTCTTCTTGTCATGTTTCCTTCTCTCTCTTCAAGATGCTTTCATGCCTTCCTGGTATTTCTAAAGCATTATATTTATTATATATTCCCTGACCTAGAATTTATAAAGCAGATAATTATGCTGCTCTTTTTTCTTCTTATCCTGTTTGAAAGATGCATTTTTAAAACTTAGTATGACTATACATTGAATACATTTACATCACTGATGAAAAATTAAAAACAGATTACTACTGTAAGGTGACCATCGCCAAATCTTAAAGGACATGAAAAATGGGTAAAACCAACTTGGAATTCACAACCTACAGAGGAAAAGATGTAAGTTCCGCATGATGAATTTCCTCCTATAGTAAGCAGTATTAATTATTTTAGAAAAAAAAATTCCATGAATAAATCTTTAATTTCTGCAAAAAGAAATAACCAAATCCAGGAGAGTATGTACATATGTTTTTGCTTATTTATTTATATAGCTAAAAGTTGGTTACAACTTGATGGTACAAAACTACACACACACACACACACACACACACACACACACACACGTTGTTTTTTAAGATGCCCAAAGGAACTGGTCTTATTTGTGTAGTACATTCGTCTGTTCTGTTCCCATTAATCAGACCTCTCGTCTACTTAACAAAGAATAAAATGAAGACGGTAGATATACTCTTTAGCTCCCTTTCTTGAGCTAGTCATTACAGTCTGTCAAAGTTGAATACTATCTTCAAACTCGGTAAAGCTCTATCAAGAACTTAAAGCAATTGTTTTCAATAGACTTTACAAAATTAAATAACACTGCCCTAAAGGGTGGGGGGGAAAGAATTAAGGAAATATCAAAAAGTGAAAGATCTGAATTTCAGGCTCATTTATAAAACCTATAATCCACTGCAGTCAAGTTGCCTTCTGACACAGAGAGACCATAAACGACAGAGCAGAACTATCCCAGAGCAGGTCTGAATGTTCATCTTTGTCTTTTCCACTAAAAGACCTTGTGCCTCCCTGCTAATGTTTAAAAAATTCAAACCCAAAAGAATAAGCTCCACTGAAACTACTTCAAGTACTGCTTCCAATTCCAAATTGATATGTTCCCCATCACTTTCAATACCTTAATCCTGGAAACATTTATCAAGCATCAACCATGCATGCCAAGATGGTAAAATTTGCAACTAGACCCACCCACGTTAACTTCACTGACTTTTTTCCCATTAGGAAATATTTCTAGTCTCTCTGCAATCTTAAAACATTTAAGCATAGCTATTAGAACATTACTTCTTCAACATAAACAAAATTTAAAATATTTGGTATCAGAAAAAGAACATTCCCAACAATACAAAGTTCAAACATCTTCATACTTGAGAGGAACCCCAAACTACATTAACATATCTTTAAGGTTAAAAAAAACGTATCCCTGAATATAAAGATGGGGAAAGCATACTCTGGAACAGAATGCTTAATATATAATTTCCAGTCAATATATACCAAAGAATAAAGGTACACAGCTGTATTCTCAATCAAATCCACCCACTAACATGAACTCTCACATGTCAACTAGCTTAGTGTCCATCAGTCTACCTCCTGTCTTAAGTCTGTCCACTGGTGATGACTAATACACCTTAGAATAACCTAGAAAGTTTGTGCAATGAAATTCTTTTTTTAAAATTTTTTTATTTTTTTTGCAATGAAATTCTTGACCTCAACCCACAAAAATCCTATTTCCAGATAGCAGAGTTTGGATTCGTAATGCAACATTCAAATGAATCCATGATGGCAAGTTAAGTTCAAACTTTTGGGAAACATGGCTTATCCTCACAACAAGCAAAGAAAAAGCTCCAGGTTGTATTGGGTATCAACTAAAAAGCAAATGAATTGATATTTTTATCTTGAATTATAAATTATTCCATTTTCTTAGTCATAATTAACAAACAATAGGTAAGACGAAATCTCACATAACTTTCTCTTTGACAGTGCAAACTGTCATTCAGTCAACTAAAATAGATAATTTTTTCTGACTCAAGTTATTGGTGATGTCTAGAAAAAGTGTAGATCAAAGCAAATGAAATATTTCAGTCCGGAGATACTAATATGATTTACATTACAATAGTTTTAGGTGGAAAAGTACACAGTGAGAAAACTTTTTAAATATATCTAGCTGTTCAATATATGTGTGTGGCTATTACACTAAAATTAAGTTAAAAACTCAGTTATTTAGTCATACTGGCCATATTTCAAGTGCTCAAAGCCACATGTGCCTAATGCCTTCCACAATGAACAACACAGACAACATCTCCACCTCTAAAAAAATCTCCTGAACAGCAACAGCCTACAGACAATGAAATTAATACACCTAATACACTTTAGAATAACCTAGAAAGTTTGTGCAATGAAATCCTTGACCCCAACCCAGTTAGGTGTTATCTAACAGAAACTCAGCCCTAATGACTCAAAAGGAGCTACCTGTCAACTTGTAATTTTACATGTATGTACATCCATTAGGTAGTAACTGTACAAGAATCTTAGTATCATTTTCCTGCAACTTGTTTCAAGAAAGCACATTTTAAAAAATTTTAGATTACCAAAATAAACATTTAATTAAAGAGTTTTGAACATAATACTAAGAGAACTAAATTCTCATCAAATTAGAATCCACGAAAGTTTACTTACCAGAAAACCCTAAAATACTCAAGAGAATCACTTTTCCAAGTACTTCAGAAATATCATATTTACATGCATAACAAAATATGAGCTCCTTTAGAGTTGGTATAACAAAGACTTTACATCATCAATCCAAGTTAGTGATATTTTATTCTTTTAACGTTCCAAAACTATGCACTAAATCACCTATAATCAATACAATGACCATAAAGTTTACTGGAATATCATTTTATAAGCAAGGGACTATTTTTCATTTTACAATTTTATTATTTTTCTAACTTTAATCTGAGATATTAAGCAAATCTCAATTTTACCAGAAAACTATAAAAATTTAAAGAGCGAATTAAAGCTTAAAACTTACTATCTTCCAACTGCACCAATGTCTAGTTTTAAACCACTCATTAAACTGAAACACAAAAGCTTGGGTGATGATAAGAAACTTAAATAGTAACTTCCAATTTTTCAACTATTAACTTTTTAACACCATAGAACACTCCAACAGACCCACAGTTCTACACTAACTCAATTCTACATCTACATACTTTTAAGAACATAAGAATATCATTTTGACTTAGTTTTTCCTAAGGAGGTGAGTGAGCTCAAATATGAATTTGAACCTAAATTCAGGAGACAAAATTCTAATCAGGGACAGTTTTGCTGTATGAAAAGCATAATCCTGATAAACATTCCATCTAACAAACCTGACACATAAAATACCAAACTACAAAAAATTAATCAAACAGATTATCACAGAACTAAAATATATGTTTTTATTCCATAGGACTTGATGGCCAACTTGAGGAAGCCATACTAGCAGTAATTGTCATTACTACATTCCCCCCATCCCCAAAAAAGGTGTACAGTTCAGTGGCACAAAGAAGACTAATGCACAAAGGTGATGCTCATTTTGCAAGAATTCTGTATTAATCCATGCATTATTTGCATAAAAATACATCAATTTGTTTAAGAGATAGAAAAGATGCAGTAACTTACCTGCAACGCTAGTGATTGTAACTGGAACTCCCTGTACTTGAACCCCTGCAGCACCCAGGTTGGCAACACTCACTGTCTGAAGGTTAGGCACTGATGCAAGCTGGGCAGTATTTAGAGTTATTGGGGCACCAGCAACAGCCACAGGAGCAATCTGCGCGAGAGTTGTGCCACCACTTGAAGACACTGGGGTGATGGTTAATTGTTGGGATATCCCAGCATTCTGAACTTGCAAATTTGAAAGACTCTGAATATTCTGGACTTGCACAGTTTGCCAACTGATTTGCCCTGAAGGTGTTAAAGTTGGAGCCCTGATAAGCACCTGAGTCGGGTTTACTGCTTGAAGTTGAACATTCTGTAAAGGCTGCTGCTGGATGGTCTGAATTGTCTGCCCTGACTGGAGTTGAAATGACTGTGGTGGAATGGCCTGAATGATCTGTTGTTGAGGCTGTTGGATCTGGATCTGCTGTAAAATAGGCTGCCCTACAATTTGCACCTGCTGAAGAGAGTTTGATTGATCCTGGGTAGTCTGCAGTCCATTCGGCTGAAGCTGACTAGAGCTCTGGGCTTCAGATTCAGTGGCAGCAGGTGTTTGAGACTCTTCGATGGTGCGTTCAGAACTACTGGCTGATGTGCTTGCATACTGGCCCGTATCAGCCGAGCTCACTAATGTATCACTACTTGTCAAAGATGTTGAAGCAGTGGTTGTGCAGGTAGTAGAAGAGGAGGGAGATTCCGGCATAGTACTGGTAGAAGCAGTGGTGGTAGTGGGCGTGGAGACTAATTGAGTCCCATTGGCAGTCCCACTGTCAGTAGTAGTAGCAGTCTGGCCCACCTGTCCAGTCCCTCCTCCAGCAGTCACATTGTTTATCACTGGCAAAGCTAAAGTCACTCCTCCAATGTTAATTGGTAGAGTTGTTACAACTTGAGCCTGAGTACCAGGGAGGGTTTGTAATTGCAGTGGTATTGAAACACCAGGTCTAATTTGGACTGGAACTGTCTGATTTGCCAAGTTTTGAGCAAGAATATTCCCAGAAGCTGTCCTGTTAGCAGCCGTGAGTATAGCTTGATTATTACCTGCAGAAATGAGCTGAATTTGACCCTGCAACTCCTGCAGAGATGAACTACTACTAGTAGGATTGATTTGGATTTGCTGGCCTTCCACGGTCTGAAGCTGTGGAATCACTTGGTATTGTACGTTACCACTTGGATTTTGTACTTGTATGACTTGAAACTGAGCAGGAGTAGAAGAGTTACCTGATTTCGTTTTTGTAGGAGATGCACTCCCGTTATTACTGCTGGAAGAGCTAGATGAACTAGAGGCTGGTTGAGGAACGTTATTTTCTTTTGAAGCAGAGGGAGTGGAGGCAACAAGTTGCCAAGCGTTCCCAGCAAGTTGTGTTGTTACCAGTTCTAACTGCTGTGGTTGATTTTGCAGCTGCACCAGTCCTTGGCTTGGATCTATAATAATTTGTTGTTGTCCAGTTGCTTGATTTTCACCAGGAGTCCCTATTTTGCTGCAAGTAGCTGCCAGTAAAGCCAGAGGAGAGGGCTGAGAGTCCTACCCAAAATGGGATGGTAAAGGAGAAGGGGGGGAAAAAAGTGGGCAGATTTAGTGGAGGTCAGTAGATGGGAGATGTGTACATGTGTGTATGCAACAGCTCTAAGTATCAGTATTTACTCAGGAAGTGGTGGCAGAAATCAAAAAGAAACATGAGCAACAGCAGTTAAGAGACCTTGCAATGCAAAGTTTAAATATAAGGGGATTCCTAACAAACTTTCTTTTTTTTTTCTAACAAACTTTCTTAAAGTGTCATTTTCCTAAACTTTAAATGACTTTTGGGGGAAATAGCACTGTTTTCTTAGTATGGGTCCCTGGTGTCATTTTAAATAAACGTTCTAACCTTAAATTATGTGCAATCTGCATGAATTTACCATTTAATTTTTAAGTTCCTCACTTTCAGAAATCTGCTTTGAGCGGATAAACATTTTTATTCTGCTCTTCGCATTTGAGCATTTAAAGGGAATTCCCTCTCTCCCCTATTGTTTCGGGATGTATTTTTTTTTTTTTAAATATGTTTGCTTTTACCTGGGAGCCTGAGGTTTTGGGTTTTTTATTGTTATTCTCTGGCTCAGAGGTTTTCCCTCCTTCTGTAGCCATCGCCACTGCCGCCGCCGCCTCCTCCTCCTCCTCCTTCTTCTGATCTGCAACAAACCCCCCAGCGTACACGACAACAGGTTATTAGGATTATTATTATTCGCCTTTCCCCTCCTTCTTCTCCCCCTCCCCCGAACATTAATCTCCATAAACCCGCGATCCACGCACACGGGAGGGGGTGGGGGGAAAGGAGGGAAGGGAGGAGGGGGATATCACAAAACGTGGTTTGAAACCCGACCCATCGGCTCCAGAGCAACACCCAGAAGGAGGTTGTTCTCTCTCAGACATTAAGACAAAACACAACCCTCCCTCCCTCCCTCGTCTCCTCCTCCCCTTAAAGCATCTCAGCGGCCCCAGGGGAGGGGGGAGAAACGAGCAGGGTCTGGGGAGGGAGGCGGTGAAGGAGACCGAGGGGGGTGGAGAATACGTACCGCTCATCCCGCATTAACAGGACAAACCCTCAGACGGAGACACTGGGATAGAGGTGGGTGGGGGTGGGGGCGAGGCGGGAGGAGAGGCCGGTCCCGCCCGCCCGCCCGCGGTGGCTCGGAGGAGGCTGTAGCTGGCACAGGCTCTGCCTCTTTTTCCGCGAATGGCCGCCGCTGGGCTGTGGCGTAGCAGCTCCTCTCTCCGCCCGAGCCCGGCTGACTCGCCCGTGATTGACAGCAGCGGCGCGGGCGGCGGCGCGGGCCGGGGGCGGGGCCAGGGCGGCGCGAGCCTGGCCGACTCCCCACCCCCCTCGGCCTCTCTCCGCCGGAGCCGCCGACTCTCCACCCCTTCCCCCAGCGGATTGGCCGCCGACCGGCCGGGGGCCGGGGCGCTGGGGCCGCCTCCTCTCCACCCCCTTTCTCGGGGTTCTTCTTTCAGAAGCGTTTCTTTTTCTCTCTCGGCTCCTTTCGCGCTCCTTCTCTCGGCGTTCTAGTTCAGGCGCACTGCCGGTAGGCCCTCCATACAGCCAAACTTGTTGTCTCAGGATATCCCGCCCCCTACTCATTTCCCAGCGCCCTCCCCTTCAAAACCTGCTCCTGCATCCCCCCTGGAATGGCCACGGAAGAAAAAAGTAGGGCTCTTGCTCAAGGCATGCGAGAGGGGCGGATGTGAGGGCGCAAAGACCCTCAGCCGCTCAACGTGCAGAGTGAAACGCCAGCTGCCCCTGCGCAAGGAGCATGGTTTTCCTGAGGCGCATCCGGACCCGGGCGCCCTTTTTCCCTGGCTCGCTCCCTATTGGCTAAGCCCCGGTGACGCGCGCTGAGTGGTGGGAGTGAGGAGGCGGGGACTTGCCGCAAAGCCTGCCGGCCCTTGTAGTTTCGGGAGGCCTCCGCGGTCCCTCCAAGGCACCGCCTCCCTCCCGCCCCCGGCCGAGGCCGGCTCTGGAGCGGAAAGCTGCCCGAGGGGGCGGTGGCGGCAGGGCGTGGCTGGGGCCGAGTGGGAGTTGAACTGAGCGAGGGGGAGGGGGAATGGGTGTTGTTTGCCTGGGCCTATCCGCCGCGCGGGGCTGCCCAAACCACCTCTGCCACCGCCTCTTCGGCTCCAAGCCGCTCCCCGCGGGGCGAGCTCACACCCGGAGCGCGCGGCGATTGAGCGGGCGGCGGCGTGGAGAGGCGGGGTTTGCTGTCCTCCGGGTTTGAATGAGCCCGGCTTTTTCGAGCAGCGCCTTCACCTTTCCTTTCTTTGCTCGCCTTACCCCCTCCGAAGCCCGGCTCCGAAGGGGAGGCCTGTTTCCCCGCAGACAAGTATCTTCCATTTTATTTGTTGGCTGCTGGAGCAAAGCAATGGCTCGTTGGCCGAGGATGCAGTGTTTTGTGGAATCGCCGCGTAGTTGGTGGACTTGTCACGTTGATCAGCCTCAAGAGATTAAGAAGGTGAAGAAAGCCCCAGCCCTTGTGGGTCAACTCAGCTCACGTATAAGCTCAAGTATATAAGCTTCCAAGCAGGTGGAATCTGGCAGCACGAAGCTATTTATTGTCAAATGCAGAGGAACAGCCTCTTGGCCCTAGCTTTCCTCCAAAATCCTGAAGTCAGGGTGACGCCAGGGAATATAAAGTGCATCTGACTAAGTGTACTAAAGGTGATAAATAAATGGCTAATGTTTATACAGGGCTTGGAGACAGGGTCCCCTGCACACCCAGGTTCACAGCCACCCATACCTTTTTAGCCTGGGCCCCCTACTCATCTATGGGCCTTTCTCCTGCCTGAGGCCTGCCACTGCCGCAAGGGTGAGGAGGTCCCAGGTGCTGCACTTGACTGGCATTTCCTTTGCTTGTTAAAGTAATTGCAGCATTGGCTGATGACAAAGCCGAGCTGCAAAACAAAGCATTTCAAATAAAGAATTGCACAGTACTGCTTCCCCTCAAAATCAGTCCAAGATCCTTAAAGAACCTGCTTTGCTTCTCCCATCGCGTACACTCCATAATTTTTTGCATTTACACACTGTCTATCCTTAGGTCTTCCCCCCATCCCATTCACCATGATGGATGGAGGAAGACATTTGCAATCTTATGAATTAGAGCATTCCTTGTAGTTGACTTACTTTAAAAACCTTCACAAAGACCATATCACTGTCACTGAACCACAGGATAAAAATAATGCTTAGCCATGCGGTATATGGATCTACAAAGTAGCCTGAAAATTCTGTGCCCTGCAGATAAGCTGTGTACTGGTTAGCATGGTTAACAAGCCCTGTTTTTTGTTTTTCCTTTCTTGTCTCCATCTGAGCCAGGAGACCCTGCTGAGACAGGTGACAATGACTTAATGCCTTCTCAGGTACCGTCATTTTATTTAAATAATGGAGGATTTAGCTAGATCAGGAATTGTCTACCTAACACTCATTCCCACATTGCTTTGCAAATTTAAGCTATGCACCATGTATGCTATAATCTTTTTCTTTAAATAAGTTTACTTTTTCTTTTTTTTTTTTTACCTAAAGTTATGCATTCAAAAGATATTTCTATCAGTACCATTTGTCATAGAGGGTCAATAAGGGTGAAGAGTACAAAATTTTCAGCTTCAGGCCTAGCAGGGTAGCAACTGACCTAGAAAGTTTCCTTCTACACAACAGTGGCTTTCCAACTTCTTTAATCTTGATCCCCAAGAATAAATGTCTTGTTTTTATGACCTGTACAAACGATCATCCTTCTTATTGAAACATATTGATGTGGCAGAACAGATTAGACACACAATGTCCTAGAGGTTTCCTGACAGATGCTATACAGTGGAACACAAATACTGGGCAAAAGAAGAGGACTTGAGGCCAATTAGGTGTTAGAGTCATCTCAAGAATTATCTATTTAGTAGCAATGAAATGTGTCAATGGAAATGAAAAGAGAAACCCATTGCTGTCAAGTCCATTCTGACTTGTAGTGGCCTTTTATCTAGTTTATGAGGTTGCAAGTCTTAATGAAAAAAGACTGTCCATCTTTCTTCCACACAGCAGTTGGGTAGATTTGAACAACTGACATTTCAACTAGCATCCCACATCAACACTTAAATAACCCAGTGTGCAACCAGAGTTCCTTAACAGAAACAAGAAAAGGTCCTTAACTTTACTACACGTATTTAGAAGATCTACTAGTGACTGGAGAAATGGACTTAGTTCTGCTGGAGACTAAGAGATTAGCTCAAGATAGGACAAGGTTCAGAGCTAATATACATAGGGTTGCTGTGAGTCGCAGGCAACTTGATGGCACATAACAACAACACATACAACAGTAGTAATCCAGAGGGAGCTCTAGTGGTAAGAAGTTGTGCTGCATTCCTTAAGGCATGAGGTTCAAATCCACCAGCTGCTTGATAAGAGAAAAATGGGCACTCTCTTGTGCCTCTAAAAACCTACTGGAGAGTCAACTATGTGTTGAGTCTGACTCTGTGGTAAACCACAATAACAACAGTAGTGAACCAGAGCTTAAAAAGAAGTTATGTGTTAGCTGTTGTAATTACAAGGTCAGTGATTCTAATGCATCAACCACTCTGGAAGCACGATGCAGCAGTTGGCTCCGATTAAGAATCGAATAAAGAGTCACCTGGAGTCAGAGTCCACTCAAGGGCAGTTGTTTTGTTGTTGTTGTTGTTGTTGTTATGTGCCATCGAGTCGTTTGTGACTCATAGCGACCCTATATACAAGAGCCCCAAACGCCGTTCTATCTTGTACCAACTTCGCTGTCTCAAACACATTCATTTTCACCAGTCTACTCACAGAATCGTTCCATCTCATCGAGGGTCTTCCTCTCCTGCACAGTCGCTCCACTCTCCCAAACATGATGTCCCTCTCCAAGGACTAGTCCCTCCTTGCATCATGCCCAAAGCAAGGGCAGTAGATTGGATTTATAAGCTCCTATCCTTTCCATTCAGTCCTGTTTTGTTGAAGCAGAAAGTTCATCATTTCAAGTTAAACTGCAAGTCCAGAGTTTGGGCAGATTTCCTGGCCTTTGCTCTGCATACCTAAATCAACATTGTCTACATTTGAGAAATAGTGCTGGTTTGTCACTGGGGTCTTTCAACTATATCTACTAGTCTCTTCTTTCTAGGACCTGCCCTTTCAAAATGAACTCTTTATTAAAACAAGGCTGGAAGGTTTCATATATATATATAATTATGCTGAAACCATCACGAACTTCTACCCTGAGCATGACCTTAGCTCCCTGCAGGCGAAGGCAGAGATGTTTAATCCCTAACAATGCTGAGCATACATTTAGTGAAGCTAATATGCTTATGGATGAATGTGATAGAAGTCCTAGAAGTGATTTAGCTTGATACTATGGGTGAAGATACTGGAGCCCAGATATAATAGGTGACTTGAATGGTAAAAAGGAACCAGTATTTAATCTCCTTTAGGAAGCTAAGCTACTTGTTGAAATAACTGCTAAATGGCTTTGATTTGTCTTTGGGAATCAGAAAGCAAAAGGTTTGGAAAGGCCACACACCAGAGAAAGATCAAAGTTTAATATCCACCCCAGCTCCAAAGTGCACTGACCAGGAATTCGACACAGGCTCAGTGAGCACATTTTGTTTTAAAAAAAAAAAATTACATCATTTGTATCTCCAGGGGATCACACACATAGTTGCTTGCCTAGTAAAACTTAGTGGACAAAAATTATATTTAAAAAAATTAATTCATTAAAGGCTAACATTAATTCTTTTCAGAAAGCATAGATAATCTTAAAGATCGTTTTAGCAATTTGAGTTTCATCTAATTGAGTCCTGAATACAGAATATTTACCTACGAATGTCTTAATGAGGTGATTACACATGCATGCCATCAGGAGCCCTGGTGGTCCAACCCCCCAGCTACTCTAGCGGGGAGAGAAGTTGCAGTCTGTTTTTGAAGAATTTGCAATTTAAGAAGCCCTGTTGAGTTAGTGCATTATATGTTGGGCTGCTAACTGAAAGGTCACTGGTTCAAACCCACCAGATGCTCCCCTTAGGTACAGTCTTCTCCTTTA